CTAAATATGCATAGGCATAAAAATAATAAAAAGATACTGAAAAGTTGTGGCCCGGACTGAACAATTTGCATACTGCTTGTTTATCTTATCTTCATGTTTGCAGTGGAGGTCCCTTAGAACTTATTACATCATAACATCCCTTCTGTCTTATCCAAATGTTTTCCAAGAGAGACATTTAGTTGTTATCTTTGACTGATTTAATTTATGATTGCAATGGACTTTCTCTTTGCAGTGAGTGTCCTGGTGGAGGGACCAGTAGAGAAGCTGGTTCATGTAGAGACCTCCCTATCCTCACACACACCCTCCTCCTCTGCCTGGTTCTTCTTGGGAAATTCTGGTTAGAGTAAATGCTACCGAATTCCAATGAGGCCCCTGCTACCCTTCTACAGAAAAGTGATGGGAATCTCTCAGGACAGAACTCTCAGAATAAACATGATCACGGCATTGAGAATTGCTGATTCTTTGTGTGTGTATGGTGTGTGCATGAGCTAAGCTTGTTTGGTCTGGGAGAGTTATCAAATCCTGTTAAATGATCCAGGAGAAGAAAATATAAGCAACATAAAATTGTGCAGCCAAATATGGCTCCATGGTCCTGTTTGGGCTACTGCTGAATGAAATTTGCCTCAATTTTTCATTCTTTGTCAGGCTGAGCTACAAAAGCTGAGACAGCAAGCCCTGGAGACCAAACACTTCACTGAAAAGCAGGAGTTGGAAGAGAGAAAGCTCCTGCGAATCATCGCTGAAGCGGATGGGGAGAGGTTGAGGCAGAAGAAGGAATTAGACCAGGTAGAACCTCCTTGTCACATGCCCACTAGCAGTCATGAGTCCTTTGTCCTTTCTAAGCAACCACATGGCTATGTTGGCAGATCATCAGCAGACTAATTGTGAAATCATCGTTCATTTCACTCACATGTACGAAAGTACTTAATTGGCATTACTGACTCATCTGCGCAGTAGGTACACAATGGCCAGTAGGACATCAGGTCCCTGTTTTCATGGATCTTAAGTTCTATACAATATACTTGCTGTACACATTTGCAGATCACAATTACATGATAGAATCTCAAGTTCATAATCTGGGGTCTAGAATCTTCCTTCCCTCCCTCCCTCCCTCCCTCCTTCCCTTCTACTCCTCCTCCTCTTCCTCCTCCCTCCCTCCCTCTCTCTCTCTCTCTCTCTCTTTCTCTCTTTCTCTCTTTCTCTCTTTCTCTCTTTCTTTCTTTCTTTCTTTCAATAGAGTCTCCTTATGTACTCCCCGCTAGTCTTTAGTTGGTGATCCTCCTGCCTCAGCTTCCTGACTGCTGGGGTTACAGGTCACAACAGACATTATCAGGACCCTGTTAGGAGAAGTTGTTCAGTGCAAGATGGTAAGAGATGGTGGAACTTGGCAAGAGCTTGTCTACCAGAAAGTCATTCATATTTAAACATTAAAAAAGATTGTGAAAAACAAACAAGGAAACAAACAAAGTGGCACAGCCAAGGGCCAAGCATTATTGAACTATAGAACCATGGGAATTGGCGGAGATTGCAAATTCCAGCGGGAGGAGTGTGTGCGGATGGTCTAGCAGGATGTTTCTACTATTCTGCCCACAGGGCATATGTGGATGGAATGCATGCTTCTGTCATAAGGAGAAGTGAGGCTTTTTCATTCATAGTGGCTATGTCATGTCCCCCCCCCCAGGTCATCAGTGAGAGAGATATCCTGGGTTCTCAACTTGTCCGGCGTAATGATGAGTTAGCTTTGTTGTATGAGAAGATCAAGATCCAGCAGTCAGTGCTGAACAAAGGTGAGACCCAGTACAACCAGAGAGTGGAGGACATGCGGATCCTCAAACTGGAGATCAAGAAGCTTCGCCGAGAAAAGGGGATCCTTGCCAAGAGCGTGGCTAATGTGGAGGAACTGAGGTAAAAGGAGAGCTTCAGGGCGGAAGGCACAGAGGTCTGCAGGGACCTCCTGCAATGCTTGTGTGGTCCTTGAAGGTCTTTAGGAAATTACACAAAATGGATTTCATAGGATGAAATTATCATCGGAGAACTTTTCCATAAAATCTGCCTCTGGCACATGCTACATCAGAAAAATGAACTAGTTTCCTTCTGGGGTGGGGTATAGGCAAAGGCAAAAAGGTTATTAAAACACTCTCCTGGGTCCTTAAAAAGGAAGTTTTAAGTCATAGCACAAACATAAACCAGTCATAATTTTGAACATTTTCTTCCCCCAATGAGTTCTTTGGAATTCCTTTAATCAGGCAGCATGCAAGAGATCGAAAAACATCAATATTTAAATGCCATCTTGCTAACGTGTGCACATCTTTTTCTTGGAATTATATACAGGATGAAAAGAGGTGGAACATTAATTCTATCACTCTCTGAAAATCTGTTTCCTTCAATGGTGACCAAAGTTTCCATCTCCCTCTTGATTTATTTCCATGGTTTGCACTTAGCTCCAGACGGCTTCTTTCTTTAAGTCTTGCATTACACAAGATCTGCTTTCCCTGTGGGAAAACATCACTGTGCTTTATATGGGCAATTGCGGGAAACGGAATAAGAGGTTTAGTATTTTCTTGGTATCTTTTCTTTTTCCTCACAGACTTGTAGAAGTACAGTTCCCTTTGACCACCTTGGGATAAGGACACAGTTTGAATCTGCCTCTTACATGAACTGGATTAAAAGATGGTTCTAATGTTCAGATGCAGGAATGGTTTTAGGGAATAGTGAGGTGCCATCATCAAGGACAGATAGATTTTTTTTGAGTTGTTTGTATTTCAGATGATGAAAATAGTACATACTCGTTGTAGAAAACATAGGAGATGCAGAAAAATATAAAGAAGAGATTAGAACTACCATTCATAAATTTACTCTCCAGAGAGACTACCATTGACATTAGAGACAGATGGGCTCATTCCGAGCAGCTACTGAGCGATCTTCAGGACCATCAGTAAATTTTCCAGCCATGAGTTATTTATTTTTTATGATGTACATAAAAGACCAGATTTTACCCATTTCTTGTCAATATTGCGAGTTTGTTGATAATGTTTTTATTTTTCTTTCCAATGAGAGGATAGCCTCGTAAAAATTGGAGGCAAATAAATAGGGATGAATTCCTATCAGCCTTGCAACCTCCAAGCTGGATGACCTTGAGCAAATCACTAGATGTCTGTTAGGGTTTGAACTTGTAATTACAGCTAAATGGGGAAACAAATGTAATGTGCTTCACACAGAGTCTTGTACACAGTCAGCCCTCAAATATGATAGCTAATACTTTTGCTTTCCTCTCTGATCTACTCTAGAAAAGCAAAGTGTTAAAAATATGCTTTTAATTCTAAGCAGCTTGTTCTGAGCTCCCTGTTGAGTGAACATCATGCAGTTAATTCTAATGGTTTGTCTTACTAATGAGGGGAAGTTGTATTATTGGTTTAAATGAAGCAATTAAGTAAAAGAGATGGCTCCGTGTTAGTAATCTGCACACCCACAGCAGACAAGGACAGATAGGAATGTCTTTATTGCTCAAGTCAATGCAAGCACTTGTTCCTTCCCCATCAGTCAACAAAGGCTCTGGAGAGTACAGTGGTAGCAAGCTCCGGACACTGAGAATGACTCTGACAGTCTACCTATTAACTGGAGATGCCTAAAGATTTTAGAAATATGTTTGAACCAGAGCTGGTGCTTTGGGACTTTTTCAGTCACCCGTGCGTAACGATTGTGGGATACAAGGCAAAATACCATTGAGGCTCCTAACCTAGTACTTCCAAGATCTGGCTGCACGTTAGAATTCCAGCAGGATTAAAAAACTGTGAAATGCAGGCCCTGCACTAGACCCTATAAAGCAGAAGCCCTCTGGGGACTGGGTTCTGGCAAAGGAACGCAACGCTGAGTTCCCCACATGATTCCATTATATGATTAAGATGGAGGTAGGTGGTCACCTACTGCTCCTGTAGAGAGAGAAGCGCTGACATTTATCTTGGAAGTCTCAGGGCTCACCTCTCCCCCTGGTTCCTTCCATATGTGTCTAAATTACTTGGATATTCAGAATCTTGATTTTGAAGACTGCTGCTGTTCAAGGCTAAGGAAGTTCCTGAATTCTGCAAGAATTAGTATTCTTTGTATGCTGCTTACCTTTGGGAATTTGACCTCATTGCTCATAAAAGTCTCCCTAGTTCCAACTTTTACACCAGATGTAGTGTATCTATTGCTATATATTATCATTATCATTATTATTATTATTATTTTGTGTGTACAAGTTAGTGGTGTGCATATATGTGTGTTCCCATGTGCATTGGTGCACATGTGTCCTGTGAACATGCTTATGGAGGTCAGAGGATGATGCTGGGTATCTTCCTCAGTGGTGGCAGGGTCTCTTACTGAATCCAGAGTCCACAGATTCATCTAGATTGGCTACGTGGCTTGCCTGGAGATCCACTTCCTCTACCTCCCAAGTGCTGGAATTGCAAGTGTGCTACCATGGCTGCTAGGCTTTTCCATGAGTTCTGGGAGTCTGAACTCTGGTCCTTATACTTGCATGGTGAGTGCTTTATGCACTGTGCCATCTACCTAACCCTCTGTAGTCAATTAAAGATATGCTATTCAAATGGACTGAGAAGGTCTTTGCACAATAAAATTTGTCTTATCCAGGCAGGAGCTTTTCCACATGCAAAGAGAATTCTTGAAGGAACGAACAAGATGTCGAGCCCTGGAAGAGGAGCTGGAGAACCCCATGAATGTGCACCGATGGAGGAAGCTTGAGGTAACATTTGGTAGAGATTGTTCCTGTCCCCAAACCTCCTCTTCACCCACTCAGAGCTCCTAACCCAAAGCATAATAAAAAGTGCCCTTTAATTCAACACTGTGCAAATTGTCACCTAGGCTGCAAGACTGGATCAAATATAAATTGGGTTGTTTCAGAACCAGATGGCTCATTTGAGTTTGGCCTTCAAAGTCTTGGACAAAAAGCCTCTCTGACCCCCAAAAAGACCTGAAAGCCGTAACCCTGTTTTATCAGTGGGTATTTATTTTGCTCATTTAGGTAGTTTGAATATTCTTGGGTTGACTGCTAATTGCCTTTAGCTATATCCTCCACCAGCATCTTAGCTGTCTTTCAATTGGTCTTTACATCCTTTCATTTCTTGTAGGTTTTATGATGCAGTCTTTTCAAAGGCCTAGCTTGTGCTAGCCAAACCCTTTCTCTTAGGATCTGGGGACACAGCCAAAGTCCCATTGGCAGAGGATGGGTAATCAACTTCCTATTTTATTTTGTGATTTCCTGATAGGCATTACAACCAACACTGCAAATAACAAAGGCAAGCTCTGCTCATTCAAGACCAGGAGTTGTACCTAGTAACATGGGTGCCAAAAGGGGCTTGGGTCAAATAAACAATTATAATATTGGGAGATATAAGTCTATGATACAAGAAAGAACAGGGCAGTGTGGAAAATCAGCCAAGTAGGTTTCTATTTTTATTTTCTTTTAATGAATATAAAGTATTAAAGCTAATGTATTATAAATTGTGTAAACACAAGGCCTGGATTTTAACAGCATCCAGGACTGCCAAGCGAATGTGTGCCAAATTTGATCCCGCTATACAGTATCAATTGGCGATGCTATGTGTTGTGTAAACAATGTCAGAGTCAATGAAATATCATCTTTATTCTTCTTCAATGCCAAAAGTGGCCTAGCTTAATAACCCAATGCTAACAGGGATCTGTCTGGGGAGGTGGAACTGATGCTCTTATACCTGTTATCATCACATCGGTTTATTCTATGTTTTCAAGTAGATTGCAGAAGTTTCCAACTCTATGTCAATTTCTATTAAGAAATAAAACTCAGGGAGGCAGTTGAAAATATCCAGCGGCGAGATTAATTTAAAGTGTCAACATGGTTGAAAGTGAAACTTTGCCTCAAAGACCAGAGGATGTATGATCAACTTACAAGTGTAGCTCTTTGGATTCAACCCTTATAGCCACTGAAGGAGCATCTAAGCTCCAAAGGTTGATGATTCCTTTCAAGAGTTAAATGCCACAGCTGTGTTCTGCTGCCACTCATTAGCTGAAGTCCTGTCCCAGAATCCTTCCCCACTGTGGTCTGTGATGAATCTTCTGGCTGATGGTGACCAGAGGGGAATTCCAAGGCTTAATTACTTCAGGAACTCTGAGTCATTCCTATGGAAACTGGAGGTGGTAGAAAAGCTCAGAGCATCATAATGAAGAACCACAGCCTTTGCAGTGGGGAGTATTTAGTCTTGAATCCAGGCCGGAACCCTCCCGATCTTGGCAGGTGACTTCTCTGCTTCTCAGTTGCCTTCTCTGCAAAAAGCGAAGACTGATAACAGTCTGACCCACTGTCACATGATATTACATGAAAAGCATCGAATGCCGTGTGTAGTAACTCTCATAATTATTATCCTTCCTTCTGGTGGAATGAACACCCTTTCTTTCCACCTGTTTGATTAGAGTCACAGTGAAAACATTGGGAAATGGTGGTTCCTGTTTTTTTTGGGGGGGGCGGGTCGGGCGTCTGTGACCCTGCCATCTGTTATGCTTTTTTCCTTTTTGGCTTCAGTTCTCTATGTACTGGGTCTTCAGGCTGGAAAGGCATTTTAATAAGATAATAATCAATGCCCATAGAGGCCATGGTGCTTTGAAACTGGTGCTGACTCCATCGGTGGCGGTTCTTTTTGGACAGGCCAGCGACCCTAGTGCCTTTGAGCTGATACAGAAAATTCACATGCTGCAGAAGCGACTCATCAGCAAGACGGAAGAGGTGGTGGAGAAGGAACTGCTTCTTCAGGTAGCATTTTCACTGCCTGTACTCTGTGAGCAAGTGCTTTTTCCCAGCATGGCAGTCTCCAGGGCTCTGTTTTTAGAACTGGTGATTTGGCAGCATTGCATGCCCTGCGTTAAACTGTAGATGGCAACAGTGACTCACACATGGCGAACAAACACAGCCTGATTAATTGTTCTGTTATGCTGCGATCACTGATATTTCAAGAATCTTGGAAAATTAGGTTCAAGGCTAGACTTATTGCAGTCGGATAATGTGAACATCTTTTCTCACTTCCCTATGGTTCTATTTGTCAGATTGTTTTAACTGCTTTTCTTCTTATCTTCAGACTGTGAAATGCTGTGATATCAGTTTCGAAAATAAGCTTTAACATAGCACAAATGATCTGTCCACAAGAGAGTCTATGTGAGGGAGGCAGAAAGATGGTCCTGAGGATATGTGTGGGTATGAGTGTATGTGTGACAGGCACACAGCCATGTACATACATGCGGAGGTTAGAGGTTAGACATTATAAAGTATCTTCTTCCATCATTGTCTATTTTTATTCCCTAGAGACAGGGTTTCTCAGTGAACCTGAAGCTTGCCTTTCTGGCCAAGCTGATTGATCAGTGAGCTCTTGGGATTCACCACTGTGCCATGCCCCCTTCCCCCAGTGCTTGGCTTATAAGTGTGCATGGCTATACCTGATTTTTACATGGGTCCTGAGGACTCAGATTTAGGTCTCCATACTTGCACAGCCAGACCTTTTACGTTCTGAGCCATCTCCTCTACCCAGCTTTGAGAACTTATGCAGTAAATTCTTCTGGCAAGATTAGGCTCATGCCTTTTATCAGTCATTGCTGCTATCCCCGCTAGCTGCTTTTCCTCCTCCTCCTGCTCCTCCTCCTCCTCCTCCTCCTCCTTTTTCTTCTTCATTACCACCACTGTCTCTTACTATATGCCAGATAGTGTGCTGGATAGAAGCCTTACCTACTCTGTCTCATTTCCTTGGCACAGTTCTTGCATGGGTCTTAATTAATCTCCAATTAATGGTGAAGAAGGGCCTGGGGATTTTAAAGAATGGGATAAGAATGGCACTGCTTGGATTGACATCCTGCTGTTGCCAGTTTGCAACTATGTGAATGTAATTTCTCTGCCCCCGAGGATCTTAATCTCCATGAAGGACAGTGATAGAACCTGTGAAAAAGGGATGTTGTAGGTATTGAAAACCTTATACCTGGTTCATGATATTGATTCCAAAGCTTGGGATTTTCTTGGACCACTTGATTAGCCTGTGTTAGAGTCCCAGACTCTTGTGACAGGAAGTCCAAAGATTCAACTTCCCAGAGGAGCTGTGTTTCCCCATCTGGAGCCCATCTGTGGTGTCCTGCCGAGGCGGGGCATCTCTGTTGATCGTTCTTGTCACTGAAGGTGTAGATCTTATGTGGAGGAGTCTCAGTCCCAGCTCTCTGTTCCACATTGGCCCAGCACCTTGCTGTCTGTCCTTCAGTGGCCTCACAAAGCCAGGCCCCTATTCAGTAATCAGAACCCCTCAAGGGATGGCTGCCATATGTCCTTGTTTACTGCTTCAGATGCAGGGCACCTTTTGATTTTGATACTTGAGCAAACCGTGTGCAAAGTGCTTTGTGGCAAAAACGTGTTGGTTGTTTAGAGTATCTCATGTTTTATAAACATTAGAGTACAGGATTTTAGACTATTGAGTCTGATGTTTCATCATCAACAGAAATCTCATCTTCCTTTTGTCATCTGTAAAATGGGGGGAATAATAAAAACTGCCCATAGAGGTGAGTGTGTTAATGAACATGAAAATTTTAAAATGTTCAATTATTTTAGCAATATTATCATTAACATTGATAATATTATCAATAATATTGTTAGTCTCCAAGCAGTCTTTATAGATCTCCAAAGTCTCATTTCTTTTTAATAAATTCTTCATTTAGCTCTTTAATTTTTTGACCGTCTGCCTCAGCAGCTGTGTATCCCCAAACAAGCCTTGATAAGTGGGTTCTCCATGGGATTGGTCATTTTCTTAGCTTTGTGTATTTCAATTTTTTTGGTTTATTTATTTATTTTATATGTATGGGTGTTTTGCCTGCATGTATGTAAGTGCACCAGTGCCATGCCATGCCTTTGGAAGTCAGAAGAGGGCATTGGATCCCCTGAAGCTGGAGTTATAACAGTTGTAGCTGCCATATGGGTGCTGGGAACTGAATCTGGGTCCCCTGTAAGAGTAGCCAGTGCACTTAACCACTGAGCAGTCTCCCCAACCCCAGCTTTGTGTGTTTTATTAAACCATTAGGAAAGTTCTCAGCACTCACAGCAGAAAATTTTGTAGTTATGAAGTTTCATGGCTGAATTCTTTTGCTTTAGAATAATTTGCAAATGATGACTTAAGCTGTGTCATGGTGATGGAGAGACGTCATCATTTCTAAGCAACAAATAAAATGGAAGTCCATCTCCCCCCACTAAACTGGGAATTTTTGGAAGAAAGGCACTTCCTATTTGTCTCTCTGACTCTTCTACCTGATGCAGTATAAAGCACATAATAAGTGCTCAATAAACATAGGCTCTTAGCCCCGTGTCTTAGTTACTTTCTTGTGATAAAATACCCTAACAAAAGTAACTTAAGGGTTTATTTTGGCTAACAGTTACAGGGGGATACAGTGTTTCATGGCAGTGAACACATGGTAGCAGGCAGGGACAGGAGCAGGAGCCTGGCTGGTCACATTGCATCAACATTCAGGAAGCAGAGACTGAGCAGGAAGTAGGGCTAAGCTGTAAGGCCTCAAGGTCTGCTCCATGTGATTCACTTCCTCCAGTGAGGCTTCACCTCCTGAAGGTGCCATAACCACCCTAAACAGCACCACCTGCTGGGGACCAAACGTTCAAACATGAGAGATGCTTCAAATTCCAACCACAACACCCAGAGAACTCCTTATCCTTGAATTTTGCTATAAATACCCTTTCCTCCCCTCTGGGAGCACTCTTGGGTTAGGTGTCTTTGTAGAAGTTCCGTAGGACTTCCCCTTTGCATCACACATAACACTTGTAATTAATGAAATTATTATAATTGTAATTGTGTATATGTGTGCACAAGTGTATGTATATGTGTATACATGTGTGTTCATGTGTGCTGATGTACATATAGGCTTGTGTGGTGGCCAACTTTAGTTATCACTCTTCAGGTACTGTCTACCTTATTTTTTGAAATAGGGTCTTTCACTGTTGTGAGAATCACTAAGGAAGCAAGACTGGCTGGCCGGTAAGCTCCAGGGATCCTCCTGTCTCTGCCTTCTCCAGACCTGGGGTTATAATCATGTGCCACTGCACCTGGCCTCTTTCACATGTGTTCTAGGGTTTGAGCTCATGGCTCCTCATGTTACATGGCAGGGTCTTTGCCGATACAGCTATCTCCCCAGCCCATATTTGTGTTTGATGACACTTTCCTGTAGATTCACAAAGGTATGTCTGTGTCTGCTTGCTGGTCATCACATCCCTAGCTTATTTATTTATTTATTTATTTATTTATTTATTTATTTATTTATTAATGTATTGCCTGCATGTATGTAAGTGCACCTGTGTCATGCAATGCCCATGGAGATCAGAAGAGGATGTTGGATTCCCCTGGAACTGGAGTCATGGACAGTTGTTAGCTGCCATGTGGGTGCTGAGAACTGAACCTGGGTCCTCTGCAAGACCAGCCAGTGCTCTTAACCTCTGAGCCATCTCTCCAGCCTCCCCTAGCATTTCCACTAGTGCCTGTCCAGTGGCTGATTGCATGCTGGAAGAATGCTGTTCCTTTGAGAAGTGATGCATCTTACATACACTAAGTGCTAGCTTTGGGCTGACAGGACAGGGAATTGTTCCTTTTGCTTTGGGACTTTTACTATGAACTCTGACTTTTGCAGAGGTTTGGGATTTACTGGGTTTATGGATGTGGAAATGACACAGACTCTGCTGCCTTTGTGTGCAGAGGCAGGCTGATTCATACGGGTGTGCTTAAAGTTCTCTCCTTGTACTGCGTTGAGGTGACATTGGTTCTTGAGCCTCATTTTGCAGTTTTGGTGGGAGAATGGAGAAGTCTGTATTCGTGCCAGGATGGGAACCTAAGTCATGGATGGGAAGACTTGTTTTCTGTTGTCTACCAGGGCATGTCCCCTTTCAAGAGGGCAAAGGCAATAGAAGCATCCCTGGCTGTCTCTCTGCTGTTGCTCCAGTCACTCCTCAGATCTTCCAGATCAATGACTGTACTTTTTAAAGATACCTATAGGCGTCCATGTGTGTGGTGACTGTAACCATTACATTACCACCACCACTACATTACACTACAACCACCACCGCCACCATCATCACCGAGGTGCCATTCCAAATAAGAGAGTCTGGATGGCATAAGTACAGGAAGCTCAGCCTCTTGAAAAGGCACTTGCAAACAAAGATCACTTACAGAAGCTGGGATTTTTTTCCCCCAAGTGCTCAAATGCTTTTATCTTCTGGACCAGGCAAAAACCAAAAAGCAGTGACATGTACTTTGCATAACAAGACTTGAAATGGCCATTGTTAGCGATCTAGGAGTCAGAAGCAAAAGGGAATGTCCGGGACTGCAGCGCAGGGCACTGTGGATCCTATTTCTAGGAAGCAGCTCACTGAATTCAGCTAAACGCAGGCTTCCATGTCACAAATCCTTCCGTTTTCATGAATAGATGGATTTTATGTTTAGTATATTGAGTTTTACCCATTGGTAAACCTTAAGAACACTGAATGAACATTTCAAAATCAGGTCTACTCCCATCACCCTTGGCTGTAACCTCAAGCTTCAGGACCTGGGGCAGGGGAGGCAAAGGCGGAGTGAGTCACATGATTAGCTTTACTTGTTTTGATTTCTTTGATCTCATTCTCTGCTGCTCCTCAATGGAAGTGCAAAGCCCAAGAATTAAAAGGGAGCGAGTCTATGGGGAGGGAGAAGGACTAGGCTGTGGCAGCAGGGCATTGTGGGCACTTGGAGGTGA